ACCGTTAGGTATCCCGGCCGGGTGGTGGTTAGTTAGGATGAGAGTAGAGAGAAAAAGGAGGAAGAAATCGGTTAGGAGGGAAGCCGACGGGAAGGTAGACGGCAGGGGCAGCGCCGGACCATACCATCAACCCAACGGTAGCTCCGAGCCGGCTTTCCGCTAGTCAGGTACAGCCCTATGGAACGCTTTGCCGGTGCCGTGTGCTTGAACCTCCGCTTCTTCTTGCTCTGGTTCTTCTTCCTCGCCCTCGCCCTTCCTGTCTGTCGTCCTCTTGGCTGGAGGAGATTCCGAATGTGAGACGCAGGTTTGGTGGAGCCGCTATTTATTCTTCTCAAACGGACCGCCAGTGACCTGCGCGTGCGCCGCTTAGTCGACCAATCGCTGACGGTGGATTACGTGACGTCACACAGGTGAAAGCCCGGCGGTAGTGTGCGTGGCTGGACGTTAGAAAAGAATGAAAGAATACGACATGTTGCTTTCAGGACCACGAAAATTATTCTAGCCATGTAGAATATAAAATTAGATAAGCACAATATACGATGACTTTATTATCCCACGAGCCGCTGGGGGGGGGGGGGGGCAAGGGCGGCGCCACCGTGGGGGCAGTGGGGGCAGACTGCCCCCACTGGCAGGAGGCCGTGGGGGCAAGACTATGTTTTTGCCCCCACAAAATTTGGCTGATGTATGGGAACAGAAGACCGGTGCAACATTCATTATAGGCGGTTATAATAGTACGCCTGTTTTTGACGGTCCTCGTATCAAGTGCGTCAGCAGAACGTTCGTTCTCGGACCGTCTGTCGCATATCTCGTACTCCCACTCATTCTCCTACTCATTTTCATTCACCAAAAGGCTGCCCTAGAGCTTAATCTCGAGGAGGTTGAGAAGCAGTTTATCAAAAGTCGGCCAGAGAAGAGATCACCCTCTTTTGGGAACCCTTAGACTGAGACTGAGCTCAGAGAGGTATGACAAAATGTGATAGGTATGTATATCCCGGGTTATCTGGAATTCTATGTGGGTCGCCCTAATGGAGCTTATTCTCGTACCTATATCAATCGTATGTGAGAGAATCGCACATATATACGTACTACGGGGAAAATGAGAAATAGGTACTGACTATAGTTTTGAGGAACACACCATTTTACATCTCAACGAACAACATAACGTTTTCAGTAGTTTTCACAGGTTTGTGTCTCGCAATCTAGTTTTATAGTTTTATTTCGGCCGGGCGGCCCGGGGGTAATCCTAACCACCGCAGCCCGGGGTAGCCCCCCCCCCTGTTTAACTCCGTTAATAAGGCAGCTACTGAAACAAAAATGGTACCAAACGAAAAGTATCTATGAGAAGATTCTAAAGCACCGAAACTTTTTGACCTCAGGTCAGTTTTCAAGGTCAGAATTCAAGGTCAAAGGCAAAAACCGGCATTAATGTAGTGGTCTCAAAGTACGTGTTCCAGAGGACGGCATGGTGCATAAAATCGGCTAAAAGGGATGTTGAACAAAAGAAGAGAATCCGTGGATTCCGATGATGTGCATAACATTCAAATTCAAGGTCACGATCATGCTCAAAATTGACCACAAACTTTGCACTTTTTCTTATATCTTGTATACTAAATTCCGAGATGTTTTGATATGTTTTCAAGCTTAGCGGACCCCTATTTGTGCTTAAGCTTACGATACAAGACTGCTACGAGGTCAAAGTCACAAGAGAGTATCCTTGCTAGAGGCTATTTCACTATTCAAGTCAGGCATAATAATTAAAACATGTTTTGCCATACTGAGGCTCTAAATGAATGCTTACAGCAAAATGGATGCCAGAGGCCAAGAATCGTGATCCGCGGCTACGAAATCATCACAAATGACCTTCCATGTGTAAAAAATCAACCAAATGTCATTCGAGGTCACATGAGGTCAACATAAAACTTGACCTTTTCCAAACAATATATATGTCATTCGACGCGTCTCGACAAGACTAATGCGAAGGTACCACTGCCGTAGCTCCAGAACCATTTTTGTTGAAGTTATTTGCGAAAAAAAGAAACTAAAGCCCCAGCTCGGGGTCGTTGCCCTGACCTCTGACCTCAGGTCACCAAAGTTACTTAAGTATTTTTTCTGGGTCAAATGCTACACAACCGTGCTCGTAATTTGTCTTTATCTCTAAAACTCAATTTTTGGCAGCTGGTTGAAGTTCACGTCCGTGACGACGAAGTTTGCCGTGCAGGAGTCTAGAAAAATCGGCTCTGAGACATTATCAAGGAGGCTAGGTCCAAATTTTTTGCTTCAAAAGATGTCAAACTAATGGGGGATAAGGTACAGCAAGCTTCGTCTTTCTATCCCTCAGCGTTCGTGAGGTATCGCAAATATTCGCCAGGGGAGGCGAAAAATGCCCCCCCCCTTTCCGGGCCCGCGAGGGTTAATGGTTAAACTCAATACGCCTATGCATGAAACCTAAAACCAAAATAATTTTGAATGACAACATCTAGGGACAATGTGCTCATGGATTTTGCAGATCGGCGTTATCAGACAACAGTCGGGTCAGTCTCAAGCTTGCCCCCACTGGCGAAAATTCGTGGCGCCGCCACTGGGGGGGGGGGGGGAGGGGGGGCATAAAGTTGTCTGCCTCTTTACGTTTTGTGAGATGTATCCAAAACCTGATGAGCTACAAACGTGAAACTTGGCATAGCTTCGAATGATTATCTAGGCAATGTTTGAGGAAAGTTAAGTGGTTGTAGCGCTCAAGATGACGTCACAATGACGTCATAAATTTTTGTCGTTTTCCGATGCGGACCGATTCTGATGTCGCTGAGCATGAAACTCAACTGTAACTAGTCAGCACCTGCTGTCATCCTAAAACATCTAAGTACACTTCCAACTAGTTCCTGACCAACAATCGGTCCTTAATATTTGGTCTCGTATATTGGATATATCGTATCGAGAGTCGCAATTCTATAATTTTACGTCTGACGTCACTTTGACGTCATTTTAAATGGGATTGACACAAAATTGAGACACAACCTCGGCTAGGTGTTCAGGAAGATGTTTGCAAAGTTTCGTTTCTCTATCTCTTCGCGTTGCGACGATATCGTCGCAGAAGTAAAGGGGGCAACTATACATATCCCCCCCCCCGTGGCCACAGCGGCCGTCGGATGGCGCGGAGGCCCAGCGGCCGCCGGGTTATCAGGCAGCAGAGTTTGTTCTCGGCATAAATGCATGGATAGCAATGGCGTCATTAATTACAAACGCTCACACGGTCAGGTATTACTAATAACGTGAATAATGTGAGCGAAGATAAAAGTAGTAAGTATAACCTATTTTTCACGCCGTTTCGGATCATTCGCTGTTGAAGTAATTGACAATTATTGTGATCTTTTCAAAGCACCAAGTCAGCCTTGATGACAAGATGTTTTGCAGCCATCGAATTTCAGTTACCTGCCATCTATTGTCCTTCCAACTCATGTCATCTTAAACTTCTTTGATTATGATTAGAGATGTCAATCGGATACCAACTTTTTGGTATACTGATGCCAAACCGATACCAACTCGGTATTTGGTATTTCAATCCTAATGTGTTTGGTATTTTGTTGGTATCATGAACCCTCGCTAAGTTTAAGAGGCTAAGAAATCGGTCCCCAAGTTGGTTTGGTTTCGGTATTTCTCCACGGTTTTGATTGGTATTTGGTTTGGTATCGGTATACCGATTTTCCGTAATTGACACCACTAATTATGATGTTTCTTACTTATGTCACCTTAAATGTCTTTAACTTTCATGTTTTTTATTTAAAATACTGTTTATAAAAAGGAGAAAATATTTCAGTATCCTTCGTCAAATGTTAACCCGCGCCCCGCTAGGCTATTCAGCCATACGCGCCCTGCTGGGGGGGGGGGGCAGATTCTGCCCCCCTGTCTAACTTCCGAACCGATGGTCGTAGAAAGACGGGGAAAACGGCAATCGAAATCCCTCAACGAGGCGAATGGCGAATCTTCAGAGCTCAATTTTTTTCTTAAGTAGGTCAGAGGTCAGGTCAAGGTCAGGTCAAGGGTACAAAATGCAAGTTTCTACAGTATCGGCCTTGCACCGTAATTGCCGAAGAATGGACTGAGACTGATTGCCCAAAAAGTGTTCTTAGTCTACCAGGACAATATTCGTTGCATACAATATCATTCAAAAGTCAAGGTCAAAGTCAGGTCAGGTCAGGTCACCAAAAACAAAATATAGAAAACGGCATGTGCGACACATGTTTTATGGGTCATTTTATTCATTGAAGAACTTTACAAACATTTGAGAAGCTAACACACATTTTTACCGAACCTAGTTATAACAATGGGGCTGTGGTTATTGGAGAATTCAAGTCAGTATCTCTTCCGAACAGCGTTCTCACGGTGCATAAAGACCGTGCCGGTTACATGCCATAGGGGAGCAGCTTAGGGCCGGAACATCAGCGAGGACCCGCTTCAAACCTAATCCGACCCGGGTGATTGATGGGACACTAATCTCACCACCTAATGTCCTCACAGAGGACCACCGGCCGGTGTCAACGCGCCGCTAATAGCTCCCCGGCACGGGCGGTGGCGCGGCGCAGTGGGGGTCAGACGGAAGGGCTGATGGGAACATTGGCGTCCCTCGGAGTCAGGAGCGGCAGGTGCTGGTCCGGACTTGTCTTATCAGCTAGTCTGGTCAGTGAAATGGACACCCCTGTGAGCCCCCGGTGCGGGTCACGATAATACCCCGACACCGCCGACCACCCGAGGACTGATTAGACAAATGAGGGCAGGGACACACATCAGAGATCGACGCTCCCACGCTCTAGGTGACTATAACTGTAAATATTATGTGGTATACAAATATGTGGAACTGGGCAGAAAATACCTCAGTCATAACATCTTAGCTGTTGCGTTAAGCCTGCATTCACATCAATATCAATATTCAAGCGATGAAAATAATATGTCTTTAAAGTATGAAGAAACAAACATCAGGCACTGGATTCTGCTTCCACAAAGTTGTCCTTCCTTTGCAGTATATTTTAAATGCCTTTTAGAAAACTGCACACACCACACTTATAAATCACACAAACACGATGAATTGGCGATGTTACGACGCTCAATATAATTAAATTAGTGGCCGTATCCACCGTGTCCGACATCGGCGCTGTATCCATAGGAATATCCACCGCCGTATCCGCCGTGTCCACCGCCGTATCCACCGTGTCCACCGCCGTATCCGCCGTGTCCACCGCCGTATCCGCCGTGTCCACCGCCGTATCCGCCGTGTCCACCGCCGTATCCACCGTGTCCACCGCCGTATCCACCGTGTCCACCGCCGTATCCACCGTGTCCACCGCCGTATCCGCCGTGTCAACCGTCGTATCCACCGTGTCCATATCCACCAGATCCCTGAGCTTGAGCGTAGACCTTGGCGTGACCTCCGACAAACTTGCCGTATCCTCCGTATCTGCCGTATCCACCGCCATGGCCGCTGTCGAAATAAAATAGATCCTTGTTATTTGCATACCTTTCAGATGTGTCAATCAGATTCCAATATTTTTTTGTGTACCACCAAACCGATACCAACTTGGAGTTAGGTATTTCGATACTAGTGCTTTTGATATTTTGTGTGTAACCATTATGAATGATCATACTCGTAAAATGGCAGTATAGGAGCCTAGGATTTAAAAAAAAGAATGCCTTTCTCTTAATTTTGCAAGTTGTTTTGGTTTGTGGTAGTTGACATCACTAATACCTACATACTTGTATATATCACAAAAAAAGACATAACAGGATAAAACATCTCCTATTTTGGGTTTTGTATGAAAAGGCATTTAATCATCACGCTGAATCTCATGAGCAACAACTATATTTCAGTACGAACTCGAGTTGGTTATATAGTATGATATTCAAGGGAGCCAGCAGACAATGAACAACAAATAGCTCGAACTTCTTTGTTTCATACTTACGCATAAGTGGCGTGAGTCTGGTGAACTCCGTATTTGCTGCTGCCCCAGGGATTGTATCTGAAAAAGGTGCGTGGGTAAAACGAATGAAAATCACTTGTGACACTTTACCAGCTTTCAATGAATGGTTACTATAGCAAATTGAAAATCAATTTAGTAAAGTGGCTCGTATTGCCTAGTGGATAAGCTATTTTTACGAGTGGTTTAGGTCAAGAACGACTCGAGGGATCTGGTAGGTAATCCGTTTATACTGGCGAAGTTGAAAATTTGTCTTGTTGTCAGTTGTGTGTAAATGGTTCATTATTTTAGTTTACTCACTGTTGGACGCTGACGTGGCTCTGGGCACCATATCCACCACCATATCCACCGCCGGCAGCCGCGGCGGCCACACACAGGGCGAATACGACAAACTGAAAACAAAGGAGAATGATTAATTCTGACGGTTTGTTCGGGATACAGAACACAGTCACGGATAAGACACTGTTATTCTGAAATTATTTCTGTTCTAATTATCCTTCTTCGGAAGAATGCATGTTTTTCCTGCTGAAGTACCGAAGTTATTTGACTTTCAGGTGTTGGAGGAGCGCGAGTAACTATTTTTAACTTACCTTGATCATGTTGTGTTGCTCGGTGACTGGTCGGTGTTGACTGTGTTTCTGCTGCCCGCTGTCCGACCATTTATACAGTCCGTGTCCACCCCGAGGGCGGGGTCGGGTCGTGACTTGACCGGTGCCGCCGGGGGACGGAAGGTCAACCCTCCCCTCCTGTCACACATTTCCCGCTGGTTATCAGCACTGGGATACTGGTGAACTTTAGACGCGTGTGCCGCGGTCACTGAGCTGAACGGTCACACCTAACGCCACGATCTACCAGCTACAGTAGTGCGGGCTGCAGGTAACCTTATCTCTGTGGTGATTTCACATCGTTAGGTATACTTGACAAATCTCCGAATGGTGATGGTTCGTATTCAACCAAGTGTGAAAGTACACATATTGGGCAAAGGTCATGGCGCGTGTAGAATTTATTAGGTAAGATGTAACGTCTGTCTATGTGACTAATCACATCCAAGTGAACTTAAGTTTGGCAGCACATGCTGCATGCTGGCAAGGCCATCTATAGAAGGTACAGTCACTCCCCCGCCGACCAATCAGAGAAAGATCCTGAGTGACGTCACCCCTGATGCTCGCAAGGGGTACTCCATTCCTTTGCAACGTAAAAATGACTAACTTTGAAGATTATTGATGGCGCTCTGCATATACCGCTCAGCCGTTGATGTCAATGGAAAGCCCAACTAATTTTCCAGCGACAAAAAAAAAAAAAAAAAACAGCAATATGCTAAGAAATGGCCGGTTTTGAAGATATAGACGATTTAAAAACCCTCTGCAGCAGCAGGAAAGCAACGTAAAAACGCATCGAGCTTATATTTTTACTATGGATAAATCATTTTTCAGTAAGGTTTTAGATATAGTATAGATTTAACTTACAACTTTATTACAATATTTTCATTACTTGAAACTTTATTTCAAAATAATATTTTCAAAAATGGCAGCTGTTGGCAAGTAGCTTGGGAGCGATTGTGGCGCACCGCGCCATTAATTGTCCTGAGGCCCCCTTATGATGTCATCAAAAGTGGAGTGACATGGGCCTGCATGCTGGTCTTTCATGCACGGTGGTCATTGGAGTTCCTCTAATTGATACTTTTCGTATTCCTACGAATTTATGTTGACACCTGCTACCTGCCGAGCAGCTATTCATAAAGTAGCAGGTGTAAACAATGTAACAAGTCTATATTTTCCAGCTAAAACACGTCTGTCCCGTTCTTCGTACCATTTTTCGCCCCGCCCCTTTCCGCCATCGTCCAGCCCTCTGCCCGCGTCATCAAAGGACATTACCGTAACCACACCAGCAGTCAGACGAACCAGCTCCCCTGTCTGGGGCTTCCGATCGCTGATTGGTGGACACGGTGGGACTCCTGAACGCTGATTGGTGGAGAGATCGGCTGTCGCCCGAAGGCGCAGTCGGTACGACTGGTGAGTGGAGGAGGAGGATTTGTATTTGTATTTGTATTTATACTGGAACTCTCCACAGGTGGCTATTTCGAGCCCAGTTTACATGGCATGATACAGTGACAATTGACAGCACAACATACATTTGATAGAGTTGAAACAAGCAGATAAGGAGAGTATTAGTTACTGTTCCAGCCTGGTCGTGAGCTGGCGACGTGAAGTGGAAAGTGTAGTCGCACTCGAAAGTTTGTTCCATGACACGGCGGCTCGGTAAGGAAAAAGTCGCCGCGCGGTCGTCAGATGGAGGCGAGGGGGCACGAGTACCGCAGCGCCGGCGGCGGTGGCTCGCGTTCGACGCGAACACACTGTTTGGCGAGGGCGCGCCATGGCTTTGAGCGGCTGGGGGGCAGCGGGGTCGTGTAGGGCGCGGTAGATGTTTATCACGTCGCGACGCATCACTAGCGTATCGATATCGGGCCACCCAAGCGTCGCGAGGGTGGGGGATATATGGTCACCTCGGCGTAAACCAGATACCAGTCGGGCGGCAAAATTTATGACCTTCTGCAGTCGGTTCAGACGGGTGCGTGTCGCCCCACCCCATACTGACAAACAGTACTGAAGGTGAGGGAGGACGTGGGTCTGGACAAGAATTTTAAGAATGTCATTGGAGAGGTGAGATCGGATTTTGAAAAGAGATATGATGATTGCGTTGGTACGCCGGGCGACTAAGGATATGTGGCGCTCCCAGGTAAGGGTGAGATCGAATTCAATGCCCAAGATTTTTAGATGTTTTTTGTGGCCGGTTTTCCTCGTTATTTATCTGAATCGTGAATGATGATGCTTTTTCAACTGCATTTGCTGTGCCTATGATGATGAAAGAAGTTTTGCTCGCGTTCATTTTCAGACTGTTTCTACTAAACCATTGCTGAAGACAATCAACATTATTTTCGGCTCGATACCTCAGCGCTTGGAGTTCGTCGGGATTGTTGGGTGCTGAGTCTAGGATTTGGGTATCATCTGCGTAGGATACTAATCTACCATGGGGCAGGAAAGATGGTAGGTCGTTGATAAAGATGAGGAAGAGGATGGGACCGATTATAGAGCCCTGGGGACTCCATGTGAGAGAGGGAGAGCCGCTGAGGAACCTCCGCGGACAAGTTGGGAGCGGCCGGACAGGTAGCTGCTGAACCAGCTGGATGATACGCCGTACCACTCGAGCTTGTCCAGCAGTATCGGGTGGTCAACGCTGTCGAAGGCCTTGCTCAAGTCGATCGATGTTAGTGACACAAGGTGACCGACATCAATCTTTTCAGCTGTCCATCCGACAATGTCGAGGAGGGCATCTTCCGTGGAGTGTGAGGGGCGATAAGCGTATTGGGAGGGTGAGAGGATGTGGTTTGTGATAAGGTAGGAACTGAGTTGGGAGCATACCACTTGGAGGATGGAGGAGGGGAGCATGGGGAGGGCGTCGTGGGAGAGAGAGAGAGAGAGAGAGAGAGAGAGAGAGAGAGAGAGAGAGAGAGAGAGAGAGAGAGAGAGAGAGAGAGAGAGAGAGAGAGAGAGAGAGAGAGAGAGAGAGAGAGAGAGAGAGAGAGAGAGAGAGAGAGAGAGAGAGAAATGGCGGGACTCCCGCCATCTTCGTTCACCAGTCACATAAAAGTCATACCATGTCACATCTAGTGTCCACCAGACGAGCTGCTTAATGCTTTCTCCTCGGGTCGTGACCGGGGTCAAAGGTCAGCAGTGGTGTCGGTCCTTCTATGACCTCCAGCTCACAAAGCCCCCAGTCGAGTGGTGATACCGTGTCAGTGTTGAGTAGTCCCGGCAAAGGAGAGAGTGTGTTAACAACCACTTTATCTGTATTACTGAAGTCATCATGAGGCACCAGTCAGTGTCAACATCCGCCACGTACCGAAGAGATGGGGGCGCTGCACGGTACTCTGAACAGTGGCGGCGGAAGCAGGGGGGCAAGGGGGGCAGCTGCACCCTAAAGCTATGGAAAGGGGCGCCTCGAAAATCTGTAAAGGAGGCAGGAAGTTAAGAGGTGCGGCAGCCATAAAGCTGAGCAGTGCGAGGCGACACCGCAACTGATAAAGGCACTTGTGACACGAAGACTGAAGAGGGTGGCAATGACGTGGGAAAAGTATCTTTTGATATGCTGAAGAGTGGAGGGCATCCTTATCTGAAACAAAGGCAGATGCTGCCGACCCTGTAGAATATAATCTTGCCAGGCGATAAAGGCTAGGAGGGCGCACCTACTCGAGAAGCGCGCCATGCGGAAGAGGGGCGCGCCTGTGTGTGGGACGAAAAAGAAACATTTATGGAGAGTGGAGACGTCTTTGAAGGCGATAGCCTCCGAACGCCAACACGAACATATGAGGGCTTATAGCGTTGCAGGCTCCATGCGACAAAAAGGGGCGCCTGATGGCCGATATGCGAGAGGAAATTAGTTTGTGTAACATTTATCGGGGGCGGTTTGCCGTTTACAACATATGAATGTTAAGGGAGGTCCGAGATTGGGGCCTGTAAAATTGCACTGTCCGTATGGGCGGTTACACCCCTAGTGGCTAGTGCTAGGGCGTATTTTGCATTTTTTTTTTACTGGGGAGATGATTATGACCAGGAATAGCACTCTGCAAACTTCTATGGGCGCCTGTAAAGGGGCGAAACTGATTTTCCAGTGCAGGGACGGCCATCGGCATGGTAAGGGGCGCCCAGCGGGAAGGGGCGCTTCAATATCGTTTGCACCCCTATCCTAGAATACCTTCCGCCGCCACTGACTCTGAAGAGCGGAAAACATGGCCGTTCGTCCGATACCAGCTATCGCTAGCTAAATATAACCAGCTCTCAGTTTGAGGGTTGATTGAGATTTCTTTGACGTTCACCAATCCCTCCCCAGCAGACCCTAGTTTGTTTGTTTGTTTTGTTGGGTTAGGCCCTTTCGGTCGACAAGACCATTGCAGAGCCGGAAGGATGATAGGAATTAGGGGGAGACATTGGTCTGGGCAGGCACCCTAGTGAGTCGCCGGGGCTGAGCCCGTCCAGAGGACAGGCCACCCAGCCCCAAGGCACTCACTGCACCCGGCTACGGGGTGCGCTCCCTCAGGAGCAGCGGCGCCGCTCCAAGGGAGCAGCCCGCATGAGATAAAGTTGCCTGTCCAGCCCGGAGAGGGGTTGCGGCGTGGAGGAGAAGGATTTCAGTATCCTGAGGATAGAAGCATGGAAAGGTGGACCCTAGTTACACGGTCGTCTCTTTATACCTGTCGGAGGGTGAGGATGGTGCGGGTTGATCACCAGGGCATATTTTAAGGATTTTTTACTGCGTCCCAAAGGTGGCATAGGGCACACGCTTTGATCGGAAAGGGCACATTGCAAGCGAAATAGTATATAATGCAAGTGAGATAATGTACAGATACATTGTGTACTGTGCTGGTGGAGGGGCACTGCAAGCGGGATATTGGGAGCGGGCTGTGATTGCTTTTGGCCAGTCTCGAAATTCGCCCAGTCGTAGTGCGTTCTTTATCCGCATTCAAAGGGCGGACCGGCGATTTAATGACATTTACATTGTTGTTAGTCACTCGTTTTCCTGAACGGCGTTGGGCGTGTTTGACCTCCCTTGACGCACCAAATTGTACCTATTCTTAGAGAATAAAAATGAATATGCACATGATTAAAATGTGATACATACGTCTCTTCATGCGTTTTTCACCCTTATCAATCGATTCAAAATAGAGGTTGACGTGTGAAACATTGCCAATTTGCATTGAAGATACTATGTGTTTGAA